GAAAGCGCATTATACTCTCAGCGATAAATTAACGCGTGTAACTAATTTTGATTTCTTTATTTAGTTATATATATAAAAATGCTAAATCTTCCGTTAAATTAGATTATAGATTACATTACATTACATTAGATTGGATAGAGGAAAAAGCTGATTTAGTATAAAATTCTCTTAATTAGTTTTTTGTTTGAAAAAGAATGAATTAAGTTAGAATATAATGGGCCTGAATAAAATGCTTCGGAATTTTCATTTAATTTAGAAAATTCGTTACAAAGACGTTTATGGCATAAATATTGTGCGTGCCGATTCGATGCTGCATGCTACGCACGCTATAATGAGATAAATCGTAAACGCCTCTCTTACGTGAAATCGCAACTAATGCGTTGCAAGTCCAACTGCCATTAAAACGGTACAGTATTAAATAACGTTCCGAGACAAATCGACTAAAGAACGATCTAACGCTCGCTCGCAGCTGGAATCGTGCAGTAATGTTTTGTCTTATTTATCGCGCCAAGATCCACTTAAGCGCGCATTACACCCGATCAATTGAATAACATGTACGAGGCTCGATTACATAATTCGTGCGGTAATTCGTAGCCGTACATTTCGCTACTTCGATTTATTTTGTCCTTCGAGATAAGGGTCACTTTATCGCGCTGCTCCTCTGACCAGACTGCTCTTATCCACTAATAGGCAAAGTGCTTGGGATCTGCGAGAGGAATTTACAAACCTCCCTGACTCCGGCATGGTGCTCTTATCTGGCGTGTCGTAAAATTCTTATCCTGTTGGTTCGAAATCGGTGCTATCACCGGCGAATATGCGAGCAGCAATCACCACTGCCGATGCACCTAATCCTCGTAATCGCGGCCTGCACCGCGGGACAAAACGATCAGCAAGGATCTATCGGGGCACCGATCGTGCGGCCGGCGCTGCGTCGTTATGTGGAACGATTGCGATACTGCAGTACAGTTACCTTGACACGAGCAGAGCACATCCTTGCGGCGTGCGTGAAACGAGGATGAAAACGGGGCCGCGCTGTGAATGCGCGTCGATAAATATTTCTAGGCTAAAGCAGTGAGGGGCGCAAAAACACAAATTGATGCGGTGTCATATAGAATTTATCCATCAAATTATTCGATTAAAACCGCCTGGTTTTGTATATCGTATCCTAGATATATAAATTAGCGTGCAACATCGATGTGAGACAAAGTACGTGTAGCGAAGAAATGAAAGAGCTGGTAAGTAGGAATTCAGGATGTCGCCATATTAGGAAGATATTAGGCAAACGGAGCATCTAAAAACCAACTGTCGCACAACTTTTGAGTTCAGTGCTACTTTAGAATTCACAAATTCATACCCAATAAATGACGAGGCAATAAATAAAATGACCACCGTAAATGGTTACGAGTTCACGTTGTCCCGATACTTTATGCCTCGTTTAAACGAACCATCCAGCGGCTGAATTTATCTAGAACGCAGATGTTGCTACCTACAAAACGACTTTTGTATGCGCACTAAGCAATACCGCGTAGATATTTTATTACAGTGTGTGCGTGGACACCATGACATTCGCAAAATCGTCAATAAATGCGACAAACGATGAAAAAAGCCATATGTCAGACATCAATGGCGGCTAATCTTCTTGTATAAGTATGTCAAATATACAATCAAGATGCAATCTATTATGCTTCGAATTTGCTTGCCTAAATAAGATTCCAGCTAAATGATCGATTTGATTTTATTGCACGAAATGACGCTGATTATTAAGAATTAAAATTCTGTCACGAAACGACATTTGTGCCAATTAAAAAAATTGATGTTACGATATGCGTGCGATATCTCAATCTCACGATCGCGATTCGACGTGATCGTATCTCTTTCTCATTCTCACAACTACCTGACGTTTTTGTTGAAAATATTTTCCTATCGAAGGGTGTCGATTGTTGGAACGGCGACGCGTTTCGATGTGCCGAGATGTAACGTAAAATAAGTGGAAGTGGAACGACGATGATCACGAGCGAATAAGAAATCGGACGAAGTAAGACGAACCTGGAATCGAGGCGAGATTCAATCTCAACGGATGAATTCACCATGAAACGTCGCGATTCCCCGTCGCGATTCACCACCTAAGCGTTTTCGCGCGGCCTTCTTGCCATCCTGTGTTTCGTGCTATTTTCTCGCATCTGCTCGCATTTCCTTCCTCATAGATTTTTCTCTCCTTCGATTCATGCTTCACACGTTTGCTTCTCATGATATAACATTTTTCTTTGCTTCTTGCACTGCTTTTCATCCACGGACTTTTTGCCGTTTGCTGAATGAACTATTGCTTAGCAAAACTGGTTTTCCTCGATTTTTATATCTTTAATATATCACGATAGAAAATGGCGCGTACCGTTAGAAAAAAATAAAGATCTTTTTTTCAATTTTTATTTAAATATCGTTCATATAGACGCGACGCATCGCATCGGCCATGTGTTCGTTGGTGTGCTCCTATCTCTAAGCTTAGTTATTACTGAAACTACTGTAATCAATGCTAATACGGGGTCGGTCGGTACTAAGAATTAACAATTTCCGCTAACCTAGGCACAGTGCTAACTTTGCGCGCGTTGCAACCAGCGCCGTGTAGTAAATCAATATAAAATCGTAAATATTAAGCCTCTGCCCCTTCTCCTCTGCGAATAAAAAGCAATGATATGTGGAAGAAGCTATTTATTGCGATAATTATTTACGATGCGGACGCCCGCGCGACCTAGGAAGTGCATGATTAAATTGTATTTCGCAGCAAAATCGCGAAGTATAATGTACGATAATGATGTACCGCATTCTTTCAGACACTACAAAAACAAAATTACTCTATCAACGTCGGCGTCAGTTTTAATTGCACAAGTAATCTAATTGTAAGAAATAGTAATAAACGTAAATTGCATATGAATTACGACATATTACATTAATTGTACAAATTTTAGATTGATGATTTTCTATTTTCAGCAGTAAACTACTGTTATATGGTTTTCCTTATTTGGAGAGACTACTTGCGTCCGTTCTATTCGCGCGTGTGACCATCCCATCCTTCCACTTCCGCTTATTTTACATTCCATCTCGGTACGTCAAAATGTGTCATCGTTAAATATGTATATGTAAAAAGTCTTCACAATATTAAAAGAAGGTCTAAAACCTGTACCTTTGTCCTTGTCAGTAATAAGAAACAAAAAAAAAGTAATATATGTTAGACATTAACAAGAAAACAGGATGTCCTAACATGGAGCGAATTCTTCCTCGGCTTCGTTTGTAAAACTTCCCCAATCCCTTCGCGCATAAATAAGAGAACATCGCGTATAAATATATATAGGAAGGTGAATCTTGCGGACTTCAGATTATATCGGCCCGCATTATTCGCTGCTTAATGCGCGCTGAATGATGCCGCTCGTTTGCTCACTCTACCCAACTGTCCAATTGCCCACTCGTATGGTTGCCGTTTAAAGACCACGTATAATGTATCTCCTCTCCATCGTCGAGGAGCTAGATGGAATCCGTCCGTGGACAGGCGACACCAACGGTATCCCCTGCCCACAACCGCGAACGTCGTTCCGCTCGAAGACGTCGGCGTCCAACGACGTCGTCGTGCTTGCTTAGCTACCGAGACAAGTGGTACACCCTACATACATTTGTATATACCGCGACGTTTGTATACTCGGTAAACAATTGAAACATTAACTGAAGCGACGCAGTGCGTATTGTTTCGTGAAAGTATCACTAGAGACGTATGTTTTATTGCTTAGCTTCTTTATTTAAAAAATAGAGATTAAAGCTAAGTCTAAATTGTCAATATAAATATATATATATAAGATTTTTTCATTACAAGCAAAAATATAATTATTTCAGTCAACTTTTTATAGATAAAATTAGTTTATTATATAATTATGTTATATAATTAATTTAAATCTTTAATGTTGAATTTCTAGTTTATAATAAATAAAAATATAAAAATGAGTTTAGTGCTATTCTATTCAACTCTACATATAGATTTGGATTTAGATTAAACAAAGTCTTATTTTTATCTTTTTGTGCTTTCAACTTTTGCATCTATAATTTTTAACTAGTTTTTAATATTAATATTTTAAAGTATACATACGAATATGTGATGTATAGATGTATATAAAGATTCTCAGTATATTGAGCTCAGGTCCATAAGTTTGCTAATTAAATCCAAATGAATGTGTGAATCATTTATTCTGTGGATAGCTTTTGCAATGATTATTTTAAAATGTTATTAACGGTGCCACCTTGTAAAATCTTTTACAACAGTCCGTACAAGTACAGTTTACGGACAAACAGAAATGGGATTTGCTTCATCGACTGTAGATATGCAGACTTTAACCGAGTCGACGAACTTCTTGTCACTAATTTTCATTTTTATGAATAAAACTTGACATATTTTAAAAGCATTTTGTAAGTATCTAAATAATTATTCGTTTTGATATTATATAATTCAATATGATCGCAATAAAAATGTAGAAACTTAACTTATACTCTAAATTTTTTCGTGTAATAACCATATGAAGTAACGCTTAAATGTTCTTCAATTCACTGATTTGTGCACTAATTCTTTTGCTACATAATTAACAATATATTTTTTAAATCTCATTTATAAAATAAAAGATGTCTGAATCACAAATTTACGAAATATTTTGCAATAAAGACAGTTCGAATAGTAATAACAGAAAATTAATTGTTTGCATTTATTACAATTTAAATTTAACTTTTTCTCAACTTATTAGATTGCAATGAAAAAAATTCTCTTAATTTATTTGCTTAAACAAATATAATGCCCGGCATAAGTAGTATCTGTGTAATTTTAATAATGCGTTTACTTGAGCAAATTTTTTTAAGTATATAAATATAGAATATCATTACTGGAAAAATGTGTGACGTAGTACGACACGATTCTCAAAACAGACGCCAAACGTATATAGGACGGTACAGATCCAAATTTAGATCAGTGTATGGTAGGACAACATCGAACACGAAACTTCGAATACAGTTCCTCGATCCGTTGGTTTTCTCTTTATCATTCTATTGAAATTTCGAGAAGTTTCTATCGAACACACAAAGATCTTAGTTCATTCCAATTGAGAAAATTGCGTCGAAACAATGGGAGAATACAATTGCTGACACACAAACATTGAAAGGTAAAACTGGTAAAATTCTTAGTACAAGATAGTACAGCTTTATAGTATAGAACGGTATATAATTTAATTCTGATCTCGTTTTAATTCGTTGAAATCTATAATTATAATATAAAGAATTTAAGAAAGAATTTAATTAAATCATGATCGATCATATATTATCCAAAAGCACTAAATTGAAGTTATTAAACAGTCGTTAATAAGCATTTTAAGAAAAAAATTTAATCTTAATTAAAATCTACATTTAATATCTACACTTTGCTATTCAAATGAGATAGCTAAAATATACACAAAAAGAAGAAATCTGATAATTGTTAAAGCTTAAAAAAACTAACGAAAAATTAGTGTGTATGTCATCCGAAGGAAAAAAAACATGGATTACCTGCGCACGATAAGTAATCCGAAACTAATCCATCCTATATATTCCTAGCTCTTATACGTTAATTACTCCAGTACGTAGTTGCATGGCGTACGAATACACGAATATTTGATATCGCGTTGTATTACATTTATGTCTTAATTAGCACGCGCAACATATCTCACGCTGAGTAAATTCACTACTATTTTGCAGGCTATTTATTAAAATGGATCCACGACAGTGTCTGTTTTCAATTGCATTAATTTTATTAGTACTGATAACACGCACCCATGGCCAGCGACCAATAAAAATCGGTAAGTAGTGATCATCTTGGAAAACTAATAAATTTTAAAAAATATACTGCTATATATGGAAAACTTGTTTACGTTAAAAAAAATTGTTTAACGACAGAACTAGCAAAGATTGTTGATTAAAATCGCTATAATAATTTTAAATTTATTTTACGGATGTGAAAAGCTTTTTAATATAATAATCTATTTTTGTTACACATAAAATATATTTTTACTTTCATCATATCGAAATACTTTTTTATGTTTTAAACACGCTTTGCCCATTTTAATTAGATTAAAAATCCATTTATTACGTATCTTTATCTATGTATTAAATATTTATTATTTTTATGACGTAATACTTTGTTGAAAAAAAAAAGATAAATATTACGTCATAAAAATAATACGATAAATGAATTCATAACCAAATTAAAATGGAAAGAGCATATTTAACATAAAAAAAGGTTTCAATACGATGAAAGTAAAAATATATTTATAACGGAGATAAAATAACTTTAGAATTACAATTTCGTATTAATAAATTTTGCACATAGTAATATCAATATATGTTCACAAAGTCACGCAAGAGAAACATTTTTAACGATGTTCACATGCGCGTGTTACTTAATATTGATCCGACACGCATAACGCGTACATTACGAATACATGCATAGTCAGAGAGAGAGAGAATAACCAGTATTCAAATATATCAGCTATTATTCAAGTAAATTATATAATAATTATTCACAGATTAGAAAATTAATTATATATTATATATTAATCTTTTTACTTCAATTAATCATTATCATTGACTACACAAATCTATTTATTAATAATTAAGTATATTTGTTAATCAGATTTTTCATCATAATTACATGCCATATTTTATATTTATTCTTAAAAAATATCATTTTTTAATAATTTATTTAAAAAGTACATCTAATTTTTTATTTCTAAAACTCTCTTATTTTAAAATTATTTTTGTGTTTATTATATTTTTGTACATATTCCTTCATCTTTCTACTATATTTTAATTCGTTATACATTAATTAATCTACCGTCGCCGGATTCTTTTATTAATTATTTATTTATTAATATATTTTTTAGGATTTATCTATCATAATGGCGATGAAGATCTTATGTCTACATTCCAAAAGGCAATCTCTGAAACAGAACGCGAAAATTTTGCACCCGCATTCGAACTTGTCCCTGTTTATAAATGCATCAATGTTAATACTGATAGCTTTAAGACTGGTCTAGCTGGTGAGTACGCAAATTAAAAAAAACCAATTCGAATGACGATTATTTCATAATATTAACAAGTTCGTTTCCTAATTAATAATTAATTATAAAGCAATATTTTCCTTCATAATATATACTTATTCTAATTTAATTCCAAGAATAGAAATTTGAAAATTGTTTTAGAGTAGTTTTACAATTATATGTATAATATTCATCGTAATATAAGATGTTATCAAAGCATCATGATTCGACATGACTACAATTTAAAGAGAACAAGAGAATTATCTTTTTTACAGTCACAAATACGTGACTGGAAAAAAGTTTATAAAGAAGGCTTTACATGGCATATTTTTTCTAATTTGAGCCATATTTGTTAATTTACTTGTTCAACATTGTATTGTTTTCATATAGCTTGCGAGCTTCTTGAGGAAGGTGTGGCAGCTATTTTCGGGCCTGCAAGCCGGCATACTCGTGGTATAGTTGCGAGCATTGCTGCACGATTTGATATACCGCACATCGAGTATGTCTGGCGAGAAAACGAGGGATTAGGAGAAAAAAACGAGCCATTAGAAGAGGAAATGGAGACTCCTCCATCAATGACCATAAACATATTTCCTGCTAGTGAGCAAGTCAGCCAGGTCAGTCGGTATAAAAAAAAAAAATAATATTTTGCAGCCAAAAATTCGATTTTATAGATAACACTATAACAAAATTTACACTAACAATAAGTTAAAATCATAGAATTTTGAAAGAATTTAACAGCGCAAGTAATAATTCAATTTATTATTGGTTTATACTTAATGATTTCTAGATGCATAAAATTAATCGAAACGAACGTAGTCTGCGACTTTGAGATACTAGTTCAATCGTAATTTTGATATTACGTTGCATTTAAAATATAATTATTATTTTTGTAATGTTATTTTTGATCGATAAAATTATACAGGCTATCGCCGATGTCATTGATTCAATGCACTGGCAAAATTTCGCAGCAATTTATGAAACTGACGAAGGACTGTCGCGCCTTCAGAAGACCTTGACTCTAAAAGGAGACAAAAATAATCCGATTGTACATACGGTACGTCAGCTGAACGAAGGGACGGATTATCGCCCGATGCTCAAAGAGATACGCTCTTTGTCAGTGTGCAACATAATTATTGATGTCAAGCCGGAGAATATCAAAAAAGTTCTTTCTCAAGCAAAGGATGTCAAATTGTTAGCAGATTACTGTCATTTCGTCATAACATATCTGGTAACATAACGTATATTACTTAATTTCGATAGTAAAACGATACTTCCGAATGCGACATATTTTACATATTTCAGGTCCCAAAAAATTATTGTTTAAAAAACTATATATTAAATAATTAGAAAATAATAAAATTTGAATATAATAATATAATAAAGCATAAAATATTGTACATTATTCCTGGGTTTCTCAGATTACCAAAAAACAAATAGCATAAACAATTTCTGAAATAATCTTTTCACTGAAATCATAGGATTCATCCAAGCTACGTATTCTCGAGATACGAAATGGTACAGTCAATATCACCGGACTCAGTTTGAGAGAGAATGACATAGAAGACGTTAATTGGGTATTTATTCAAGAATCTTTTAATTAGCAGCAATAAGCATATCTTACCATGAAAACTCCTTTAATTAAACCGTTCGGAACCAGCGTTAAAACTGTAGGTCCCGCGTGTAAATTGTAAGTAGCGTACATCACAGAATTACGTTGAGGGGGTCACTATACCCGGATCGGGTTAACGACTATAGATAGGAAGAGAAGCATATAATGTAAATGTTATATTGATCATGACATAATCTCAAAAATTCATTTTTTTTTTGCATATTACAATTCTTAAGTACTCGTCGAATCCAGACCAAGCAAACGCGAACAAATGAACAATTCGCAGTAGTAAAAAATTATAATAAAAAAATATTATTTTATATAATTATCGACGAGTATGTAAAAAATGACTGAAATATATCTGTCAATTCTTTATCCCGCGAGCACTTAAGAAAAGAAAGTTTTATTTTCTTTAGCAAACAGATCAACATCTAATTAACGTTTTTTCATTTACATTTACATTTTACATTTACATTGTACATTTCAAAATGAATTAGATAGATGTTTTATATTAAGAATTTAGAATACAAAATTTATATAGAATTAAATTGACTACTTAAACTATTCGTGACTTTATTATAGCTAGATTCGGCGGTCCTTTATGATGCAGTATTTTTGTTGAACAAAGCACTAGAGACCCTAAATGCAAGAAATGCGAGAAATATTAACAACGAGGAATATATGTCTATTGATCCTGTACCACTTTATTGTAATAGTACTAGAAAGTATCAAGTAGGATCGAATATTATTAGCGTTATGCGGGAGGTAAGGAATCTACCTTTATCTTTCTTATCATTTCTGCAGTAGGAAAATGGTAATTTTTAGCTTCAAGCCAAATCCTAAATTTTCATTATTTACTTATAACAAAATGAAACTTTTGTTACATAGTTGTCAACAATGGGAAAGATTACGGGCACAATGAAGATTGACAAAAACGGTCATCGGCACGATTTTAACATAAAAATTTTGAGTTTTCGACAATCGGGTATGATACAAACGGGTTTTTGGAACAAAACCGGTGTACAGCTCATACGGACTCAAAAAGAATTAGATCTCTATGTGTACAAATCCATCTCGGAGAAGGTATTCAAGATTAGTTTAAGAATAGTAGGTATTACTATTTAACATTATCTAGTTAATTAGTCTTTATATCAAGATCACATGTGATTATCCATCAGATATCGAAAAAAAATTTGATATTTTGTAAAATCATGATATAATTTATTACAAATTATACAAATATGGCTGAAAATATGAGACATATAATAACTTGGTCCGATTTAGGGTGCACCCTACATTATGGAGGTCACTGATAATTCAATGCACGGAGTGCTAATTGGTACAAAACGTTACGAAGGCTACTGCATCGATTTGATTGATCTTATCGCCAAGGATCTAAATTTCAAAGACGTTGTTTACGAAATCGTACCTGATGAACAGTATGGCAGATATGATCCACAAACCAAGTCATGGAATGGACTTATCAAGCGCGTTCTAGATCATGTAAGTTAAAGTAATTCTGTATTTTCACAGAAACTTTACTTGAAAGGAGATTTGTTCTCTAAATTTATTTTTATCTTATTTTGCCAATTAATTTAAGTAAAAAAATTACCTTTTATGAAAAGGTAGAACAAAAACGTGTAAAGCAATTGAATTGTCTGTTTTCATACTAAAAATTAGTAATAGTATTTTTAAAAACACAAAAATCAATTTATCTAAAATCCACGAGATCCATCAAGAACAATTATTTATTACCCAATTTTACCGCATTTCCCTATTTATCATGAAAATAAATAAAAGTACAGCTATTCGATTTTGCTTTACCTTTTCAGAATCTAAATTATTATCTATATATTAAAAATTATTTTAGGAAGTCGATCTTGCTATTTGCGATCTAACGATAACATATGAACGCAAATCTGCTGTGGATTTCAGTATGCCCTTCATGAATCTCGGTAATAATACTAAAAGTCTTAATACTCAATACTAAAAAGAATAAAAAGCAAAAAATATAATAATTATATTACATAACAATTTACGACAGTATTTCAATTTTATTTTAAATTAGGTATCAGCATTGTCTTCACAAAACCAGAAGACAAACCACCAGACTTTTTCTCTTTCTTATCGCCACTATCGACAGAGGTATGGTTTTACATGGCAACTGCGTATCTCATCGTATCAATAATGTTATTTCTTCAGGCAAGGTCAGTTTTTTATATAAATATTGTAAATTTGATAAAAATATATAAAAATATAATAAGAATTATCCTTCCTTAATTAATTCTGAAATTAATAGTGAAAAAAACCGTTGTTAAAAATATGATTTGCGTTTCGTAAATTTAGAATGGCGCCTGGAGAGTGGGACAATCCGCATCCATGCAATGCTGATCCTGAAGAACTTGAAAATAATTTAAATTTCAAAAATTCGTTCTGGATCACTGTTGGTTCTCTTATGCAGCAGGGTTCAGACATAATGCCCAAGTAAGTTTGATATCATATATTATTATTAATAAATATATTTTAAACATTAAGCAAATTTTTGTGTTAAAATTATCTTTTTGCTAATCAAGGATTTGCGTCATTCTTATGCATGCTTATAGCAATATGATTTATGTTATTTTCGGTTAGTATGTATATATACACACACACACAAACACACACAATTCCTTATCATTATTTCAACTAAAACTCCTATTATTTTGCTCCAGCCGTTTCGGAAAAAACAATGACTGCGCTAGCTTTGAGATGATAGTTCCCGCAGCCACTTCAGCACAATCAAATAAGACTTAAGTAGAAATTATCTTCTGTTTACTCATTAATTAATCGCGCAAATCCTGATTTTTTGCTCCAATCAATTTGCAAAAAAAAAATAATGATCAGAACTGAATTTGCGATGGTAAGGGGTCCAGCTTAATAGGAGTTTAACTAAGTCATTTTAAATACATTATTTAAAATATAATTAAAATACACTCTGCAATATGAATATTTTGCAAGTGATCCAAATTGAATTTATATATTTTACTGCTAATTATGAGATATAATTACAGATTTTATATTCTCTCTCTCTCTCTCTCTCTCTCTCTCTCTCTCTCTCTCTCTCCATCTTTTGAAACTAATGTATTACAACGCATAAAATAATTACTTTCAGAGCACCCAGTATTCGTATGTTAACGAGTATGTGGTGGTTCTTCACGTTAATAATGATCAGCTCATATACAGCGAATCTAGCCGCCTTTCTTACTGTGGCCCAAATGGATGCGCCTATTAAAGGAGTTGAGGATCTCGCTAAGCAAACAAAAATCAAATACGGCGCACTCAAGGATGGTTCGACATCCACATTTTTTAAAGTACGTTAGCAGTTTATTTACTTACATATTTAGCTCGATATAAAAATACCAAACTGTCATACGCGGAGAGAATTTTTTTTCCCTGCAATTAAAAATTTACCCTGCAAATCATGTTAATTGTGGGACAATATAGTATTTAGGCAAATTTTACTGTGCACTATAGTACAATAAGTATTTTACAGTAAAATTTATTGTAGTGCACAGTAAAATTTGCCTAAATACTATATTATCTCACAATTAACATGATTTGCATGGTAAATTAAAAAAAAATTCTCTCCATGTAGATATGATTCAATATTATCTATTATTAATCGCAGAATTCAAATTATTCCACGTACAAGCGAATGTGGGCTGCAATGTCGGACTGGAGGCCAAGCGTATTTACGGGCAGTAATGATGAAGGTGGGCAATTTCAAAATCAAACGTGTGTACATAAAAATTTTTCAAAAAGAAAAAAGTTATATTATTCAGAAAAATTTTTCCTCCCAAAGAGTCTATTTTTTAGAGATATATTGACTTTCTATCGCAATATGTTCTAGGTATCGAACGAGTTATCAAGGGCAAACGACAATATGCTTTTCTAATGGAATCAGTCAGCATTGAGTATAAAATGGAACGTAATTGTGACTTAGTCAAAATAGGAGGCCTTATCGACAACAAAGGATATGGCATTGCTATGCCGCGCAGTAATAATATAATTTCTTCACACTTCTAATATTTTCCCTTTTTTCGTATCTTTATATAAACTGCTCTTTTTTTCAACATCTTCCGCAGATTCTCCATATAGAACACCGATTAACAGAGCGATCCTCACGCTAGGAGAGAAAGGTGTATTACAACAATTGAAAAAGAAGTGGTGGGTAGAAATAGGAGGAGGTTTATGCAAAAAGGATGAAGGAGAAAAAAGTGTGAGCACAAATGAATTGGGATTGGCTAACGTCGGTGGTGTGTTCGTTCTTTTAATGTGCGGTTGCGGCTTGTCGTTCTTTATCGCAATTTGCGAATTTCTATGGAATATACGCACAGTCGCTGTAAGAGAGAAGGTAAAAGCTTTACTTTATCTTATTGTCCCTTATCAATTTTGTAATAAATAATATAAATAAAATAAATTAATCTTGTTCTTTTTAACAAAAAAATCGTTTAGTCTTAATGTAATAAAATTTCCACTTCTTTCTTTTTATCATAAATTAAATTGTAAAACAAAATACACGCTACGCGAATTTTTATTTTACTATATCTGTTATATGCCAGCGTTAAATTTCATACGTCAGTTATACACAGCGCATCATTATCACTGTGATATGCTAAAGGGAAACTTAATTACCACCTTTCGTACAGATCACGCCGTGGGAAGCGCTAGTTGCCGAGTTGAAATTCGCGGTGAACATCTTTGCAGAAACGAAACCCGTTCAAATCAAGAGCAGCAACAGCAGCGCAAGCTCCGTGGAGGGTGGACTTGGCAGAGCTGCGTCCACGGCTCGATCTATCGTTGGCTCTTTCTTACGTCTCGACATGCTCGATAAATTCGATAAAGACCATAACACGAACAACCGCAGCAACGATCGTAAAATTAATTAATCATCGTCAAGAGAATTGGAGTAAATCGCAAATGTTTTAACTAATGTAAAATTTAAAATTATACGATGACCCCAGTAGAATTGTAGAACTAACTATAATAAATATGTACAGATTAAATTATGAGTTTGTTTATTGACGCAAAATAATTAAAGAAGAAATTTTTTGTTTTGATTTACCTGCGAATTACTACAGATAAGTAATACGAAATATTTTATTATAAATAACATTTGCAAAATGATTATTGCTCTCTATGTTATAATATAAAAAAAATTTGTCAGAAGTGGGATTCGAACCCACGCCCACAGAAGTGGACTGCGACCTGAACGCAGCGCCTTAGACCGCTCGGCCATCCTGACTTTAAAGCCGAGTTCGTAAAAAGTGTAGAAGTAATCTATCAAAATTCTAATTATAGAATATTTATTTAAAATTAATAAATTGTTATTATAACACGTTATTATATAAAAACAACATTAATAAATAAATAGACAATGTGTGAAATATTCATTAATGCATTAAAAATTTTCAGGAATTTGGAGCAACAATTATAAATATCACTAATAATTTAATTATATTATAATTTGCTGATAATTATATTTTACGTCAATATTGATGAATATTGCATGTGTATGTAGAAATTTATACCAAAAAAGAATTCTCGAGAAATATAATACTTAAGAGAAAGAATATGATAATATAATACATAAATGATGAGCACTATGTATTCATGAGGTCAAACTAGCTGTATGGTTAATATTAGCTTCAGCTTATAATAAGTGATATTATAAAACCAGACAGAAGCCTAAGAGTGTGGATGTGCCCGCGTTTTAAATGGAACTCGTGTACTGGCGCCTCTATGTGTACAAGGCGTGCACATTGAACTATGTAGCCACGTATATTTTCGGCGGGTAACACATTCTGGATTTGGTTGGAAAAAAGTCAAACAACGTGATACAGAGCAAAATCAAAGATTGAGAATATATTACACCCGCCGAAATTATCTATGACTTATACATAGTTTAACGTGCACGATTTTGTTCATAAAGATATGCGTCAGTAAAGGGCTGTCATCTAAAACGCGAGTACGTCTTCTCAGACTTCTCTCTCTAATAGTTAATCTCATTCTAATAATTAACAGCTTAATACAAGTGATATATTTTAAAACATTAATAGCGCTGCTTTGCTGAATTCTTATTACAATTGATCGTGTGTATGATATATCAATGAACAGGTATAGCTGCCTAAGATGAAAATGGCTTCACCGACTGCAGATACACGATCCTCAGTCGAGTCGGTCAAAAGAAAATCTTGTGGAAGACCCACTTGGGAGAATCAATGAGGAAAAAGCTTATCCCGCGTTATATTGACTTTCACTTCCGCGTGTGAAGGCTGACATACCCCACGTGCGTTCCGCATCGTTAGCGCGTAACACTTCTACCAACATGTGACCGATTTGCTAAACATTCTCTTCCATTCGCACCGGCTTAGAACGCCATAGATAATTACTTTTTTTTTAATTTTTTTTCATCTGTAGAATTGATTATGTCAGACGTAGGCTCTGTTGCCTGGAATATAGCGATCGGAAAAATACGGTAATGTTTAACAAATTTTTGATTTCCACATAAGCAAGTGTATACAACGTTACAAGTAAGATGATTGTTTTAAGTCTTCAACACGACAATTAGCAAAAGCTAAATTAGTTTTGTAATTTTTGCCGTCAGGCAAATAATTTATTTTCCGATACTTAGGCGATTTAACTAAGCATGACTATCGTCCTTAAGGGGAGTTGTCGACCTTGTAATCAATCTAAATATGCATATTTATCTAAATATAGCATCGTTCCCTGAACGTTATTTATTTTCGAAATGTCGCGTAGGTTCCGCTTGATACATAATATTCCTCGACTATACGCGATTCTTCGAAATTGCGACCGTCATATATTTCGCAAGCCTTTACAACGTTATATTGCCTTGCTCAAGGAACATTAAGTATGTATATATATATATGGCACCGGAGCTCCTTTTTATGAAAACATAATCCCTTCTTTCTTTAGAAATTCTTTCGAAAAGAACAACGATATATTATTTCTCATCATCTCACATAAATATTAAATGTACAAGTTTCTTTTATTACCCACGTCTGCATTTATATAAGCTACATAAATCGCGATCAGAGAGATATAAAATTAAAATTAAGCTTCGAGTTAACGTGCCAAATCGCCAGCCTTAATGATAACCACTGGTTATAAAGTGCCGAGGGCATCGGTGTGACTTAAAAGAGAAAGATTCAACGCCGGTATACGTAATACGAATACTTTCGCGATGCATCGAAAACAAGAGCAAAGATTCGAAACCGATCTCCCGCTTCCTGGCCAAGGACTGGTTCGGAACCACGCATGCATGCAGTCGATCACGTAGAAAGCTCGGTTGCATAAGCCACAACCGGATCTCGCCAGACGTTGTTTCCGAGAAAGGGAAGGAGATGAGAGCAACGTCGGTGCGGATGATGAAGAGGGATAGATTGGGAAATTTGGAGAAACTTCGAAAACTATCAAAGTTGCACCGAGAATGTCGTGGCCAGTGAGAGTCGCTGAAAGTTGTTTGTAACAATTTAACGTGCATTGACCTTATGTAAACATTAAATAAAAGTGAAAACGCTGCATAAGACCATTCGATTATTCAATTTTCGCCGAAGATCCTGGATTCGCTTGGTACTCGCACGTTATTATTACTTCCTCCTCGCTTGGAGATTTAACGAAAAAGGAAATGTCCATTACGAGTTTGTGAAATATGAGAAACATTAAGTAACACAGCAGGATATGTAACAAAGGAACAAAAGTATTTTCAACTATATGTATACCGGGGGATTAATTTTTGTAAAAACTTTTCTCGACCGTACGTGTATACTCTCTTAGCGCATTATCGTGAACGTTGTCAGGTCATTGCATTTTCCACCTGCTTACTCTAGTATGAGATCGTTCATGAAGATTTGATAGATCTCCTAAATTGAAAAAAAAAACGATCGGAAGAAACGGTCCATTTATGCGAAAATCGATTTGTAAACTGTCATGCATTTTTACGGTTGCTGCATCCGAGACAAGAACTTAGATCCTCAATATTCTCTCACTACAATACGGGAAGATAAAAAGTATAAGTGTACAGGGAAAGTTCATGGAAAACCGGGGCATAGAATTTTGCGGTTAATATTACCTCTCTAATATATCTCCATTTTAATAGCATAATGAAAATTTTGTATGTATGAATAAAATAGAGATGATTAAGATTTTTGACTTTTGTATTGAACAAAGAGAAAAATTCAAATGTCGTCATAGTGTCATTCGCACAAGAGGCATTTCGTCATCGTTGTCGGTATTGTCCTCGTATTCGTGTCGTCGTCAGTGAGAAAAAGCTTACACTTGTTTTCAGATACAAGACTCATATTTCTTCTGTTTACAGCCGAATAAGCCAGATGCTTCTCAAGAGGAAAATTCCCTCCGCCTCGGGCCCCCTTTCTCACCATTTTCCAGGCTACGCTATCCGGAAAAATGTTTGCCTCGTCGATTTCCGCCTTTATTCGACACGACCTCTTATTCGCTGCCAATCTCAACCGAGATCAATCATCCTATATCTCCTCTGCTTACTTTATTATTTTAGGTGACAGAAACCGACCCTTCTTGTGTGTGAACTGAGGATATACGTAAACCTATCATTGATAAGAATGTTGAATCTTTCCATCTTCGTAAAATTGAAAAGGGATTTTCTCAGTTTCCGCGTTTACTTTTGTTTATTCGCGGATATTACCCTTCGTTTATCGAATGTGAATTGTTTGTTGCTAAACCAACCAACATTAATAATGAATAATTTCGGCTTTGGTACATGACACATCTAATGAAAATTTAACACTGTTATCACAAAGACACCTACTCGCTAGAAATAAATGTCCTCAAATAGCATAGGACGTAAAGGAGCAATTAATACTAATTAATACCATTAATAACAACATTATTGGATTAACTATAATTGGATCGTTCAAATGCTCTCTACGCAATAGGTTAACAAACGGGTGTTTGCATTGTAACGTAAATGGCTTCTAAGCCACCGCATGCCTCAGGAATGAAATCCATATGATCCTTTTACTAATTAACCATTCCTCTGATTTACATGCTTGACGAGAATAGTACAATAACATTTTCAGAATTAGACGCTTGAATTATAGTTCTCTCAACTAGAGTGCCGACGCACATCAATTAAAACTTTACAGTTGCTATTGTTTCAAATAAAAAATATACGAGAATATTATTTTATTTTATTAATGATTTAATTTAATATAAAAGAATTGATGTCCTATTTCTCAATAATAAATAATTGTTAAACTGCATTGTTATAAAAAAAAGAAACAAGAATTCTCCCTTTAAATTAATCGAATTTTGAATACATACTTTCTCCATCAGATTATGGCAATAGCACACTCTTCGTATATAATTTTCTTAATATACAACTATCTCGGAATACTTTATTTACGCGGTAGTATAAGCGGTATAAATATATGAACAATGTTTGTGAACATAGTTCATTTCGTAACGTTTATGTAATATTTAATTTTGAGACTATGCAAGGCTATGCAAGAAAATACATACTACTATTCATCTATTTAATAAATGATGTTGTAGTGTAAAAATTAAAAAAATGACGCTTAATATAAATTTTAAAAACTGTTAGTTATAATAAAATTTACATCAACAAATTTTATTAGCATAGGAAAATACTAAAATTTGTCTTATAAGACAAAATATTTTATATATAATTACAGTAGTTACTTTAATCATAATATTAGCATAATTAAATTATTGGCATACGCTTTTTTCTTGCATTTTAAAACATCCATTTCAAAAATATATTTTTTTAGCATTGCATTTTAAAATATTCATTTAAAATATACATTTTTTTAGCCTTGCATTTTAAAATTATTTATTCAAAACATGCATGTTTTTAACATTGTGTTTTAGCAGTACAAGTTCTCGCTTAGATTTTTTAAAAACAAGTTAATCTCTATTTTATGCATTTTTAGTATGAAGCAAACGGTATCTCTCATATTTTTCATTCTCTATATCTATATGATGCTATAAATAATTGTTGTTATATGTTACACACGAGGCATATGCGACTAAAATTTTTGCATGAAAAATTTGATAGTTGTTATTTATATAAGCAATCTTTTACGTTGACGTTGCAATGTCTCACAGTGGCTCGTCACATTATTGCAATTATGTAAAGCAATCCTTTGTCATTACCGCAAACAGTCGATTAATAATCAGAAATGGAGCATGTCCGACAATATGGGTGCATTCTTCCGTAGAAACTGCGATGATATTACGAGTGCAAAATGTCGCTTTCGTTAGAAATTTCGTTAGAAATTCAAAAAATAATTTGTACCAAAGTGTTTTGTAATAAAATATAAGATAATAAATATTAATAAAACGGAATAATAGTCGAGATTCAAATATCTTATTAATAATGTTATTAACGTAATTATTAATAATAAATATTAATAACCGGACAACAGTTGGTATTCTCAAACCTTTTGTTAACATTTTATTAATATTAACGTGGTTATTCGATCCGACACGTCTTTCTACCATGAGCAGTGGAAAAACCGGCTAAGCCACGACATTTCTTCGCGACCTGGAGAAGGAAATGCGTTTACGGCGGTAAAGTGCATCGTTGTAAGAGAAAGGGGAACCCACTACTCGCGGGTGAACGTTGCTGCAGACTTTATTCGCTTCATTCAGTGCGTGATCCTTAGTCTGTCATATGTGCGGGCACCTTCCTCATTACTCTGGAGGAATCTCCTGTAACTTTTTTCCATGTGTTCGCCTCTCTAATCAAGTGAAAAAACGTGTGCGAATCGCAAAGTGCGCCAAGATCGAATAGACTTTCCCCATGCGATTCGCGTTATCCTTCACCGAAAATTTAATCAGTGAAACTTGAAAACACACGTTGCGATTGATAAACATAATTTGACATCGGGATTTATCGAGAGCGAAAAAGTTTTTGATATAAAAAGGATTATTGCTTCATTGAAATATTATATTTTAAATAATGGCGATCTTTTCGTTAAAAGTTGCCTGTTAATTAAAAAATGTATACGTATATTCCATGCAACTAAAATAACGATCATTACTGCTATTGCAAGCAACCATTGATTAATTACGACAATCAATGCGACGTGTATTCAAATCATTGCAGTCTGTAGCAAATTCGCACGCGTTTGTTCGCCAAAATCAGCACTTTAAGCACCACGATTAAGCGTAATTCCCCGAATTCTGAACACTGAAACGGCATTTCCCGCATTCACGTATCTCTTCAGGCATGCTCGAGAGTCTGGTCGAGTAAACACTCATTACAACGGCATTACAACGACTTCCTACGAGGAATTTCATCGAAAGCTAAGATGACGGGATCTGGAGACCTTAATGACGGAAATCGGTGAGCTCGATCTCCTCCGTTAGACAAAAAAAATCTAGTCGATCATTTCCCAAAGCACGAGTGAATTCTGCGAGGTGGATTCTTTAATAATAAACAACATGGCACGTCCGTTGAGTTACCTTCTCGTGATCGTATGCATCGCTTACGAAATGAGCGCGGAAAAAGAATCGAACATCCTCAGGCTGAGCAGATTGCAGAAGGTTGCTTCGAACGGGACAAAAACGACAAACTTTAACGTAACGGAATACACAAAAGAGAAGAATAAATCCGGCAAACAGTCGTCTCTAATTGCCTTCAGCAAGAATAACCCGGAGTTGGACTGGAAGAATTACTTGAAGATGTTCGACGGAAACGAGGAAGAACATCGGGATCTTGACGTCGATTTTATGAAGGAGAAACTCGAAAGAACGGCCAACAGTATACAATGGCTCGCTGATCTTTACGATCCTCTCAGGTGGGCCAGAGTACCTGGAGAACTTCAGGATGAATGTCGAAGGGATATGGAAAGATTTCTCAGTGCATTGAGAGATGGGAAACTCTGGGCGGCGAAAAGTAAGTAACTGGTTGATTGAAATATAAAAGTCGAAATCGCTTCAACACTTCCCGAGAATGGAATGTTTTTACACTGATAATTTTTATAATACAAAAATATAACAACAGTATAAATCTTATCTAGTTGTATCTTGTTTGAAAAATAATTTAAGTTCTTTATTTCTAATTTTATTTTGGATCAAAAACTTTGACAAAAATGTATTGTTACTTTAATAAAAATTGAAGAAAAAAGAGAAAGAGAATAGAAAGTATAATTACAAAATATAAATAAGTTAGCAAAATAAAAAAAAAATCTTGGACAACATTTTTGATACAATGAAGAACCGTAATCAATTAGGGAAATATATTTTTGGATCAATAAAATTTAAAGTATTTATGTTACATGCATAATTATTGGTTATCAAAGAATTCATCATTTTATGAAACTCTTGCAATTTTACAATCGATCCAAGCGCTTTGACCTAGTTTACAGCGTTTGATTTAGTAAACTTCCTGACACCTTACAACAACTCTCGAGTCTTTACTTCATATGCTTCCTGCGAATACTGCATTACGGAAATGAAATTTGGCCGCTACTATTTTGAAGATGACACTCAGCAAGAAATTCAGAAGAGAATTAACAGTGAAGTCGTGCAAACAAGTCGCGCTGAAGTATTAACATAAACTTTGAACGGAATTTCTTGAGTTTAAAATAAAGAGAGAGCAAGAAAGAAAGAGAAAAAGAATGAAAATGCGATTGTTTCCATAAAATTTGTTTTAAAAAGAATTTTCCGCAATCAAGAATGTTATTTTGATTTCTCTATATAAATTCTATACACGCGCATTGTGCCTACTCTTTTTACTTTTATATTGTTATAAATTTTTCATTAATATTTATTTTTAGGATTAAATATTTTCTCTACATAATAGAGCTATAAACAAATTTCTTTACGCCTATAGTAAATTAAGATAGATAAAATATATATTACGTGCTTATAATTTAAGCGCTTTCGATTTTTCACGCAAATTTTTTCTGTGTTATACGAAAACCCGCAGTTTAATACATATCTGTATTCTAAAATAGTATTACGCGTTTCTATTCAAACTATGTATCTGTATAATATACCGCGTAATGGGATTGAAAACTAAAAGAATGAGAAGTACATCCACAAATTATTTTACATAAGCGACATAATCAATCATGATTAACTAATAATGTCGCCGCGGTCTATGGTATCATTATCGGGGCCGTCCGTCCGCGATTTAGAAAGTGAGAAAGGCTTGGGAAGCTGAAGTGGCCGGCCCGATGAAAGCATGCAGCTGCAGCACGGGCAGCCCGCGGGTTGCAAAGTCACATTCGCGGTGCGCGGATTTACAATGATTTCCGGTCACGAGCTGCGTCCGCATTATCGATATCCGCAGTAATAACGTCGACGGATGCACCAATGGCCAATTGGCCGCGTCGTCCTATTTCGCGCCGCGGCGAAACTTGCGAAACTTGCAATCACACAGCCGCGTGACACGTGACACCCGGCGGGAGCATCTTCGCGTCGCGCCGCCGCGCGCCGATCCGGTCTGGTCCGGTCCGAGCGTATGTGATAGCGGCTCTTTAAACAAACCGAGTCGCGCATCCGTAATTATACTTAGAAAGCGATGCTAATTGTCGGAAGCAATTTTTTTTATCCCTGACTCTATTAATGACTTGCTTATCGCTTGGATATGCAAGGAATGAGATGTCTAAAGAAAACGATGTCACTACATAAACGTGGAGAAATTTTTGGAGCGTTTAGTTTTAGAGCGATTAAATATGTGCCAGCTTTACAGTCGCACGCCACACGTGTCTGTCAAGCGCGAAAAAGTTTTGGGATATAGGTACATAAAAGTCAGAGCGACAGTTTTACGCGCGCCGACAGAAATAACTGCGTTAAGCAACGCGATCGCGAAATATACGACGAGAATAAACGAAACTTAGGCAATTATCAAGTTACCGCGCGGTAGGCAATAAAAAGTTGCATCGGCAATTTCGTGTCTCATTGTTGCGGAGATTATTTCCAAATGCTACGCGGAAAAAGGACTTGCATTGGGTAATCTCTTTCGGTGTTTTGATCTCGCGGCTGTCATAACGGCGCCACAACGAGTCATTATTCTTAAAGCCAGATTACCCATCAATCAGCCAGACGCGTTACGCCATTGTTGAGAATTCCATCGCCAAAATGCAGCCGTAACTGTACGGCTCGAAACAATTCTACGGTGGCTTTATGGCTCTTTCTGTCTGTGCAATATATCACGAATATAGGTAGAAATTGAAATTACGACGTCCGACAATTTAACTTAACTTTAACTTTCGCTAAGAAGTCACATGTTAGAACGTCTTATGTTAGAACGCGTGAACGCGCCGGTGAAATTATCATCGTCTATGTACACGTCGAAAGTATACAACATATTTTATTTCAAAGGCCGTTTACATTACAGCCTCGTAAAATTTCCACGAGTTCATTTGCGTAATACCGATACTTCCAGATTATCGCACAAAATTGATCACTTTCGCGATAACAGAGCAGCGCGTTACGTTCTTACGGTGGCGATCGGTTCACGCGAACATGTGCATATGCAGACCGCACTTTCTACTCTCGTGATCAACACACGAGCCGCTTTACGTAACTGACAATGAACCTTCCGCCGACAGCCGTGTAATCAAGCCTCCTCGGGGAACTTGAGACAAACGAAATTTTATTGCGCTCCCGGTGCAGACGGTGACAGACAGACTCTCAGAGAGAAAGACGGGGGAAAAAAGTTATAAAGCAACCGTAACCGAGGCGCCAACATCCGGATAGCTACCGTCCGAGGAGATCTCGAGAGTACCTTTCCCGAAAAAGAAAATGCCGCGTATCGCCAGCGCATGATGTTTCCACGAATTTGTCGCAGCACGTCGTCATGCATGCCTGTTTTACAATTTTCCACGATCTCAGAAGTGCTTTTCTCTCTCTTTCTCCCCCCCCCC